GGATCAGCACATTGCAAAGTCGAGAGACCCTCTGGCAAATCAACTCTAAAAATACTCCACCAACCATCGTCAGCTTGGCGGTGAAAATAAATAGTCGAATCACCTGACCAAGTTGGCCAGCCACCGTGTTGGCACACGACTGTCCGCTTGCTGGGATTGGATTCTGAAAAAACAACAATATCAGTGGTCAGATCATGGAATTCACCAGGCCAGCGACGGTCTCCATAGGATGCAACTGCAATCAAGTGTCCAGATTGCGAAATAGCTGGACTGTAATCAACACAGCCGTAAGGAGTCAAGCGGACAGCAGTCTTTTCATCGTCGAGGGTGGTGGAATAAAGAGCGGACCAGCTAGTGAAAATTTGTTCGGGCGGCTGGTGAGCGGAGATATAATAGAGGCGTTTATTTCCAAGAAGAGGACGGTCGAGAAATAGGCTATCAGGGCTCCCATCAGGAAGTTGTTCAATCTTTAATTGGGAGGGACGTTGCAAGTAAATGCGAGGAGAGCCTGATCTCTCGGAAACAAAGACAAGAGTCTGATCTTCGTCAACGAACTGGCCGTTGAAATTAACGGAGGAACCATCCGTAAGGCGGTGCTCTGTGGGATATTGGGTACTATGGAGTTGAGAATCAAGAAAAGAAAAGGGAGATTTGAGGCAGAAGATATCGAAGCCGTAATTGGTTCTGCCAACGGTAGAGAAGATAATAGAACCATGTAGTGACTCTGTATCCATAATGTTGTTGATTTGCTCTGCAGCAGCTGGGAAATGGTAACTGTTGTTATAGAGAAATCGGAGCTGCAATTGTAGTACTTGAGTCTGCCATGTTGTATGCAACTTAGTGTTGGCCGGTAAAGAACTCACACACCCAGAAGATGAAAGTAGCAGAGATGAGAATATTGAGGTAGATGTGCGGGCATACAAGGATGGATAAGATTAAGAATGCAGATATTCGAGAGAAGGTGGGTGTGGCCCCCATGGAGGACAAGATGCGGGAAGTAAGACTCAGATGGTTTGGGCACATTCAGAGGAGGAGCACTGATGCACCGGTGAGGAGGTGTGAGCAACTGGCTGTAGTGGGCACGCGGAGAGGTAGAGGGAGACCTAAGAAGTATTGGGGAGAGGTGATCAGACAGGACATGGCGCGACTTAGGATTACTGAGGACATGGCCCTTGATAGGGAATTATGGAGGTCGAGTATTAAGGTTGTAGGTTAGGGGAGAGTGTGAATATTTCTACAGCACAATAGAGTGAGACTATCCAGTTAGGAGTTAGACTAGGAATGTCATTGGTCGTCTATTGATGCAGGGCTTTACCTTCTAGTTGTACTATACCAGCCATCTATTTCGTATTTCGTATTTCGTATTTCGTATCCTGTATTTCATATTTCGTATCTCTTATATATTGTTGTTATTTTTATTACGCATTTTTATGGTACTAATATATCATCTCCTATTGCTTTTTTGAGCCGAGGGTCTCCTGGAAACAGCCTCTCTACCCTTCGGGGTAGGGGTAAGGTCTGCGTACATATTATCCTCCCCAGACCCCACTTGTGGGATTATAGAAGGCGCCGGAGCGTAGGTCGGTGGAAAGTGTTAGCGTTGGCGTTGGGCATGACGTCTGTTCTTTTGACCCCAATGGGAAAGAAAAAGGTTTTCCGAATACTGACAAACGATTTAAAGTGGACACGTCAAATATGAAAAAAGATGCCTTATCCCCAAGAAAGAAAAAGACAACTACACAAGTGAATTCTCTTCTGTTAGTCGCTGGTTGCTCCTCCAAAGTCCACAATGTCCGGCTTTTGGTAAAGTTGTTGGACACTAGTTCACGTATTAACAATTCAAACCCTATCTACTCCTCTAGTTTTAGCACTATGTGATAATGGGTCCTCTTCTCATTAACACTAGTGGTATTAGATCCGATTTTATCCTTGACTGCGTCGATTCTGTGCACGGATCGGATAGAATTTAGCACATTTCGGATTCGAATTTCGGATTTCGGATTCTAGAAAATGCAATCCGAATCCGATCCGAATTATATTGGATTGGATCGGATTTCGGACCGGATTATTATGCCTCAAAGTTGCAAACTAATATGTATATTTTCTCTGTAAAAGAGGTAATACATTAAGAAAAATTCATGTTTATTCAATTATGAGAGTACTATGGTGCCAATATAGTTAAATCTAGCAATTGTAAAGGTAATAACTTGGAGGAAGATGTAAATGAAGTAAACTATCCGAAATTAAAGTGTAGTATTTATACATTGCCTAATAATTTCGAATTTTGGATCAGATCAGATTAAAATATACCAATCCGAACCCAATCTGAAATCCGAAATTTTAATAAATACAATCCGAAATCCGATCCAATCCAAAATCCAAAATTGAATGGATCGATTCGGATTTCGAATATCTGATCCGAATGAACAGCCCTACATTAGAGAGTCCACGCTCGAAAAGCAATAATATCTAAGGGGTGCAAAGTGCAAACTTGCAGCGTCTTTGTATTAACGTTTATTCCCAAGCGATTAAAAAGATTAGTCTTGGGGAGAGATACTTCGCACATGAAACAATTCACCCGCACCTCACCGTTGCCCTACACCAATGATGTGTTTGCATAAATTTTTGATAACTTTAATTGATATGCATTTTTTACTTTACTCACTCTTCCGTTCACTTTTACTTTGACACATTTTGACTTTTCACACCCCTTAAAAAATAATAAATAAACTGTATAATTTACATTAATAATTTATACATATTTTATTAAATTTGAGAATATAATTTGAAATGAGTAATAAATACTGTGGGTATAACAGGAAAATTTTTTTTGTCTTACCTTGATATGCATAAAGTGACAAGTAAAAATGAAAATCTATTTTGAATATACATGCCAAGTAAAAGTAAACAAAGGGAATATAACTCAACCATGATAAATTGATTTAATGTGCATGTAAATATGCATTCAATTGACATTTGATTTAAACAATTTATCCATGCAAATGATGTAAAGATGAGAAGCCAGATTCACACTTAGCATATGTTGAAACTCATGCCAACGCCTTCGAATTAATCGCCGCACTCCCATTGATTACATTTTATCCATAAAGCTGAATGCCGATAATAAGATGAGAATCCAGAATCACTTAGAATACGCAGAAAGTCACCCAACAATCCCCAATACATGGATGATTGCATCTGAAACAGTAAAGTGTCAAACTCCTAACATAAGGAGGATTGTGCTGAGAAAAAATGAGAAGATGAAACAATAGTCTAAATGGACTATTCAATATTTCAAGCTCAAAATTAAGGCCTTAAGCGGCCTTCAACCTTGCATTTTTGTACCATTGAACTCAACAAGATGGAATATGTTAAGTTCAATGGATGTCTAGTCATATAAAAATTCAGAAGACCAAATTCGCAGCCTTCTCTAACAAAGAGGGACTGTGACTTGCAAAAATACGAGATGATACAGATAAGAAAGAGGAGCAAATTCTTACTGGAGCTGCTACCTGAGACGTTTTTTTTTTTAATAACTGAGAAATTCCAAGGCACAAGGTTTGAAACTCCGGGGAAAACGAGTCCACCCCTCTACCCTTCTCCACTCAAATACCAAGCTTCTATTTGCAATAGGGCTCGAACACGTGACATGTGTCTAATCCACATATCACGTGTTGCACTCTTACCACTAGACCAAAACCCTGGGAGCTGCCCAACCATTTTGCAACTGCTCCCTGTTGGCAAGTCCATCTAAAAATACTAAGTGCCCTTGAGGCAAACTTTTTTAATGATGAGCTGAGATGGATCAGCTGTCTATTCCACTTGATCCCCTCCTTTGACACTTCCCAGGTCTCAACACTACCATACAAGACTATCTTTAACCATGATCCTATCAAATCTTTTCTTCCCTATTGAATCTATATCGACAGATTTCAACTAGGTCCTTGAGAAAGATGTGTTGTTACTGGTATATTCTTCAATGTTTGTAGTAGTAATCAATTGTAAGGAACAGACATAGAAATGAATCAACTCAAGTTTCTATTCTTTATTCTCCTTATGGTTAATAAAGCAATGCTCTTTGTTTCAATCCCTTTTCAGCCTAAAGAAATGCATGAATAATTCAGGAGCATGACTTCAAAGGGCAAACTCAACAAGAAGTCATCTTTCATGTATCAATTAATGAAGAAAGAAACTACCTATCAAGCCACATAGGAAGAAAAATGAGAAATAGGACAAGTGCAAAAGCTTTCCAGGAAAGAAGCTTGACAAAAGTGAGTTTCCCAGCATATAGAAGAAGATTATGTAAACTTGTAGGTTAAGTAGAAACCCTCAGTAAAGGTTTCATTCATAAGCATTAGGGAGATGACATCTAGCTGTGACAAAAATTGGAAGAAAGGAAGAAGACGCATAATAATGGCTTGATTGAGACTAAAACAACAAATCCAGTATAAAAGTCATGTACGCAGGGGGGTCGAACCCTGGACCTTTGCTATCTAAATCAAACACTTGACCATTGAACTAACACTCGGTGTTCGCCTGAGACTGCTATGACATTTTTCTAATAGGCATATGGAAATTGGCCATCGAAATGAAGTTACATTGGTCAGAGAAAGATGAATCCAAATCATAGATTTCAGGGCTGTCTTATGACTTCTAGGTTCAGGATCAAAAGGAAAACTCTTATACATATAAGAACGAATCCAATTGTCTTGTCACGTAACCATGCCACACTTTTATTGAAGTTGACACTTACATGACACCAAAAGTAACCTAGAAATGTAACCTTGAAGTACATTTAATGGTCAGTGAATTCAAAGGAATAAGATAGTTTGAACCTCCTAGTTCATTTTCTGAAGAAAAACTAGTAATCTAAATGCACAGACTGATTTTCTTATGTCAAATATTGCCACAGTTCCTAGTAGCTAATACTACCCAAAGAGTCACCATTTTGTATACAAATGTACTAACATTTGTCAACAAACAAATCCAGAAACATAAAGAAGGATAAAATAGGAATATAAATTTCACTTTGATAATCCAAAACTGAGAACAATCCAGCAAATACTGTTTACTGAAGTTTCCAAATAACTACAAAATACGGTTCTAGAATATAGAGAAAATCCACGACATCACAAAAACATGGGCTAAATAGAAGAATCAGTCGGCGCCGGCCTTGTTGTAAACGTAAGTGAGGCCACACTTACCACAGTAGTGACGGTCAAAGTGGTTAGCCATGAAAGTACCAGCACCACACTCAGCGTTAGGACACTCCTTACGAAGCCTCTGGACTTTTCCAGAATCATCCACCTTGTAAAACTGCAACACAGCAAGCTTAACCTTCTTCTTCTTATGCTTGATCTTTTTAGGCTTGGTGTAAGTCTTCTTCTTCCTCTTCTTAGCACCACCACGGAGACGGAGCACCAAATGGAGAGTGGACTCCTTCTGGATGTTGTAATCAGCTAGAGTTCGACCATCCTCGAGCTGTTTTCCGGCGAAAATGAGCCGCTGCTGGTCCGGTGGGATGCCTTCCTTGTCCTGGATCTTTGCCTTCACGTTGTCGATTGTGTCGGAGGATTCGACCTCAAGGGTGATGGTCTTACCCGTCAGGGTTTTCACGAAGATCTGCATCTTCGCTGTTCGATAGCAAAATGGGATTAGGGTTTGTCAGCCGCCTCTCGCCTTTAGCTTCTGTTAATATACAGGGGAAGAGAAAGAGTGGACACCGCACTGGTTTATTAGGGTTTTACGAAGCTGCAAGGTCGTTTCGCAATTACTATTAAACCCTTGCACTAGTTGGGCCTGGCTCGTGCAACGGACCACTTATTGGGGAGAAATTAAAAAATAGCCAGATTTACAAGTGGTCATTCAAAAATAGCCACAATTTTAAAGGTAATCGAAATTTAGCCACTTTTTATGCAAAGATAAATTTGAACGAAAATATTGTTCAAAATCCGGAAAAATACTCCAGCATAATACTCCAGTATATTATAATGGAACTTCAGTCTAATATAATGGAGTTCTAGTATAATATACTGGTCCAGCATAATATACTGGAGTTTGGAACACCGGTGCTCCAGTCTCCAGTATATTATACTGAAGCTAGTAAAGTATACTGGTCCAGCATAATATGCTGGAAGTTCATACACAGGTGCACCGAACTCCAATATATTATGCTGGACCGGTCTCTGTTGCAGTAAAATAGTGGTTATTTTTCATTGACTTGGTAAACGCTGATTATTTTTGGATGACCAGTCCAAAGCTGGCTAGACCGTGCTATTTTTACCACTTATTGCCCTTCAGACATGCATTTCGGGTTTAGGCCCGCTGGATAAAATAGAAGAAATGACTGACTCAAGTAGAAATGACACCAGGTAGCCACTTTAAAGGGCTGCTATTTAGAGATTAGCTAGTGTATCCTTAATTTCAGTTTTTCAGTTCAATTTTTAGGCAGAGATGTCCTCAATTGTCTTGAAGTTAAGATTTTTATATCAAAATTTTAGGACAAAATAAGTATTAGCTAATCTTTAAATAGCAACAATAACAAAAAATTAGTATAATCCCACAAGTAAGATCTGAGGTGAGTAAAGTGTAAGCAAACCTTATCCTTATGTTGTGAGGGTAGAAATATGTTTTCAATAGAACCCTCGACTTAAGAAAAAACGACAACTGAGCAATAGCAATAACAACACACATTAAACAACAACACATAATAGCATCTCTAAAAATGGTTGTTTGTGCACCTACCCGACCCAATTGCTTAGATGCTCCCTTCAGCTCCGGTGACAAAATTAATGCTTCAGTTTAGCAGCTAGGCTGCTGAAGCAGAAATGGTTCAGATATTTGCACCACTGATGTGTTTTTTTAATGTGCAAATCAGGTTTAGTATATTAATACTTGTGCTAATAAAGCTTTACTCTCTTCATTTTAATAAGCTGAATTCTTTTTCCCCTTTTACATGGGAACTGCAAGGTTAGTCATTTTTGGATAATAGTGGGAGTGGACATTCTTTTAGTTGTATGATGTTTTTCTTTTTCCCAATTGTCACATTTTGACATTTTTCTTTTTCTAATACTAGAATAACTTGTATATGGGTAAAATCGGGGGAATTTTTTTTCTCGATTACCTGATAAGGAAACAAGAGGGAAGCACTGCTCGACGCAACTACAAGAAAGACTGAAGGATTTCTCGTATCGGAACTCGGGAGAAGTGAACAATGTATTTGGATCAGGCACCACAAAATAACGGACCCGGACCAAGTAAATTTTCGAGACCACAGAAAAAGGAGGAACGGTTGGTCATGATAAATAGGGAGTCGTAATATTCGCCCTCAACCGAATATTACAGCGTGGATCCTGTCCGATATCAACTGCGGATTGATTTTTACCGAAATTTTTTTTTGTACCTTATTTAGACTTGTATTAGGACTAAAATTCCCCTATTATATAAAGGGGAGATTTTTTTATTTTGCACACTGTTAACACGCATATCAAAGTAATACAAATTTTGTTTTTGTCTTCTAGTTATTATTCAAAGCGTTCTTCGGTTATTCTCTTCTTTAATCGCAGCCGAGCTTATATTGAGGGTCTGATCGAGGACGAATTTCAATTAAAGAATTACAAGAAAATACACTTGACTTCACACCATAACAAAAAAATAGCCTATGTTTTAAGTTTTACCCGACCTAGCCCATATTGTACATATTTTTAAAGCATTAGCAAATTCAAAATCTATGTTCTTACAACCATTGCTTCTAAAAACTATGGAGTTAAATATGTGTTCTCACAATCATTGTTTTCACTCTCTTTTCTTCTTACATCTTTTACATATGCTTCAAGGGGTCGTCCGCCATTACTGTTTCTCCCCCGTGTCACCTGGTTGCAATGTAAGAAAATTGAAGAGTAGAAGTCCACTTTTGAAGGTCATTCAACGCTTTGCTTTCAAAAATAAGATTTTTTGAGTTTGTTAGTTGTTTGGATTAAGTGTTATTCCAATTGATTGAAAATATCAAAAGGAATTCAAAATTTAAGTTTGAAGTGATTTGGAGTAGATTTGAGTAAGATTTGAGTTAAATTTCAGAAAAGATGCAAGGAAGAAGATGAAGTCAGTTTTTTGTATAATTATGTATAATCTTGTATAATAGTGTATATGAGTGCAGAAACACATTTTATACACTTTTATACACATTTATTCAAGCGTATGTAAACGAACTTCTTTCATGTTTTTCAGTTGTAATTCTTGTTCAAAACTAGTCCAAATCTCCATTAAATGACTTCAAATATTATATATAACCTCCTTATACTATTTTTAACAATTCTAAATAACACCCACTCCAAATTTATCACAAAATCAAATTCGAAATCTAAACCCACATATTTAAGCTTGTTAAAAATCTAATTTTCACCACTCAAATGGATTTGATTTGTTAAACTAATATTTGAGTTACAATTATTGATCTGAAAATTAATTTAAAAGCTTGAGCATTTTTTTAAAACTAAATAGTAATTTCGAGAACCTATTGGAGTTGGATGTTGAATCCTAGCCTATTATTTTTGGGTTAGTTGGTTGTAAATTGAAATATGAGCTATACAATTGAAAAGTAGGGATCTCATTTGTTCTTATGTGAAAATTTTCCAATTTCAATGTTCAAACTTAAGATCATGCTTGATCATCACATCACGATTGATTTGATCGTTCATTTTTCTTTAATTTGATTACTTGTTATTCTTAGACATTCGTATTGAATTAAATCACGTATCCTTTAAATCGTGTACAAATTTAATTATTACTCATTTTGAGGGGAAACATAACTCTTAACTGTGATTTACTAAGGAATATAAACGGTTTATGCCATATCAAGTTAGACGCAATGTATGTAATATAGCTTACGATATAGTTGTTACAGGACATAGTACATGTATCTATACTAGGGACTTGATTTAAATATCAGCTATATTTAATTAAATCTGCTGTTTACACCAAACTATACTAATTTATCATATAAATTTTAAAATAAGGTAGAATATATAAACTACTCAGTTAAGTAATCTTAATCTTTGTTTTTTTATTTGGTTCCTGTGGCAATTCCTCGGTGGGAAAAGCCATTGAAATTAAACTAAGAAGAAACTAAGAGAAAAGAAAGGAAAATACATAGATAAAATTGGTTTTTATTCAATATGGACTATAAAAGGTAACTACACTGTATTTAACTAGAAAACACATAACGGCCTAGACATGTGTCGACTAACAGTAGTAACACCTTTACGGACCGAAAAATAAGTTTAGTTATTATTATTTGAATCCTTGTTATTTATTTTTCAGTCCCTAAAGGTGTCACTATTGTTAGTCGACACGTGTTTAGGTCGTTGTGTTGTTTTCTAGTTAAATACCGAATAGTTACCTTTTGTAGTCTATATCGAATAAAAACCAATTTTATCTCTGCATTTTCCTTTCTTTTCTCTTAGTTTCTTCTTAGTTTAATTTCAATGGCTTTTCTACCGGGGAATTGCTACACTTCCTTGATAATCAGGAGCATTTCCTTCTATATATTTCCATATCGCGATTCCACAGAAGTGGTTGATATTTAATTCCTAACTTTTAGGCAAAGTAATGCATTTACTATTTTGCCATTTGCCTTTTCAACAACAATGACCCGGTATAAATCCCATAAGTGGGGTCTGAGGAGGGTAATATGTACGCAGACCTTACCTCTACCCCGAAGGGTAGAGAGGATGTTTCCAGAAGACCCTCGGCTCAAAAAAAAAAAGAAGCAACAGAAGCCGATATATTAGTACCATAAAAATGCATAATAAAATAACAGCAATATAAGAGCAATATAAGAGATATGAAATACAGAATACGAAATACGAAATACGAAATAGATGGCTGGTATAATAAAACTAGCAGGTAAAGCCCTGCATCAATAGACGACCAATGACATTCTTAGTCTAACTCCTAACTAGCTAGTCTCACTCTATTGTACTGTAGGAATATTCACAACTTTCCCCTAACCTACAACCTTAATGCTCGACCTCCATAATTCCTTGTCAAGGGTCATGTCATCAGTAATCCTAAGTCGCGTCATGTCCTGTCTGATCACCTCTCCCCAATACTTCTTAGGTCGCCCTCTACCTCTCCTCGTGCCCACTACAGCCAGTCGCTCACACCTCCTCACCGGTGCATCAGTGCTCCTCCTCTGAATGTGCCCGAACCATCTGAGTCTTACTTCCCGCATCTTGTCCTCCATGGGGGCTACGCTCACCTTCTCTCAAATATCTTCATTCCTAATCTTATCCATCCTTGTATGCCCGCACATCCACCCCAACATCCTCATCTCAGCTACTTTTATCTTCTGGATGTGTGAGTTCTTTACCGACCAACATTCAGTTCTATATAACATGGTAGGCCTAACCAATGCTCTATAAAACTTACCTTTTAGTAACATTCAGTGCCATTTGCCTTTTCATTCAAGTAAATTAAAAGAAGTATAAATACGACGGCTTTCAACTCCTCCCCAAAACCCTTCCAAAACCCTATTTTTCTTCTTCTCTCCAATGGGAACGCCAGAAACTTCTAGAGAACCATGTCCAGATCGCATCCTCGACGATCTCGGCGGCGCTTTCGGCATGGGCGCTGTAGGCGGCTCCGCTTTCCACTTCATCAAAGGAATCTACAATTCACCCAAAGGCGAGCGGTTCATCGGTGGAACACAAGCGGTTCGAATGAACGCGCCG